TGATTAATAAATTCTTTAATATTTGTTCAAACAGTGGATTATGTTAAACAACGCCTACACAAATGTTGTATTTGCAACTTCACTCATCATATAATTGTATTTGAAGAACTTCATGTAATTAAAATTAACATACATTCATTGTCTGCTTGTATTTTTTTTACTTTTTAGCTGGCGATATAATCTCATTCTTTGAACAGCTGTATTATATGTCTTGCTTAAAAATATTTTCCATTTTAATAACTTCAAAGATTTATAGAAACTATGAATAATATAGAAATAATTTTTAATCAATGCCGTTACGCATACAACGACAGATTTCTATTCACATACACGACGACTAATCACAATCTGTTTTTCTGAAAAAAGAAAACTGTATAATATAAATTTATCAAATTTTGCTTTCTTATTTTTTGTATTCAGAATTCATTCTATTTATTAGATATGTAGTTTATAGAATGTCAAACTTGAGCAAATCGACAATGCCATACGCCACTAGTTTTTATCACATTTGTAATTGTACTAAATTGTAATAAAAATGACTCGAAGACAGATTGAGTGTCTTTATTCGCGGTGGAATTGTGGTATGGGTCCCTGTTGATTATGAGCGGACAAGCGTATGATTAGATTATGGGACATGATGAGCCATACAAAGGCCATTACAAGAGACTGCGATAGAAAAGGCACGCTTTGCTAATACTAAATAACACGCCGTTGCTTACTTCAGCTTTCTAATTTTTCAATTTTTCCAACTATGATCTAATTAACTCCTGAAATACGTTTGAGAAAACATTCAAAAGCTCTTTTCAGAAGAATGATAATTAGTATCCAACTTGTGGAACAAAGTTATAAAAATATTAAATGTGAGGATACTTCAAACTGAATAGAGTAATTACTAAAATATGCTTCAACTTGAATTAAAAAAACTGCTTTGATAATCCGGGATTAGTATGTATCGTAGCGCAACGAAACGTAATCTAATAATAAGACATAATACCTATAGGTATATTTAATATGTTTTTAATATGTTTTTTTGGTACCGTTGATATGCTTGTATAAGGTAGAGCGGGGCTTAAAGCTCGGCGGGCAAAAAGATCCACCACCGATATCTCAAAAATCAGTATAGGTAAGAATTTTTCAATAACAATATTTGAAAGAAGGCGGAAAAAGATGTGTCACCACTTCACCAGTCATCACCTGCATTCTTACTACGTTGCTATGGGAAGACGGCTTTATTTGAAACTCTGTAACAAAGGTATTTTCTTACGTTGTTAGTTTTTATGGTCGTGAGCACTGTTCTTTGGACTACCGGACTCAAATATAATACTTAAGTATACTTCATTTAACCGTTTTATAAGATAATTTTTTAATTTTAAGTTAGATTCAACAGATTTTTTTTATATTACTTCTATGAAAGGGGTATAAGGGACCAACTAAACCTTCGCCCAGGCAATGGTGAAAAAAAATTGCAAATAAAAATGTAAATTGAGTTATTAAAGCAATATTACAAGAGCTAAATTGAATAAATATTTATTCCATCTCTGCTGATGGCGAAACACCAGATAAAAAGTGTTATCTCTGAAAAAAATGCACTCATGAAATTTTGTAGGAAGGTAGATATATATTTTGTATTCGTTGAATATTGCAGCTATATTTGTTAAATTGCTTTAAAATTGAAAAAAGATTTTGGATCTGTTTGCCCCCTGCCTGTCCCAATCTACCCCGCCTATGGGATAAAAAACACCAGATCACAAGTTTTGAAAAATAGCAAAAATCATACTTCTACAATGATGAAGTTTCACTGAACGTTGTCAGTTGTTTGATTATTAAACAATTAAGGTTTGGTTTTCAAAATAAAATTGTTAAAAGTTAAATTAAACCTATGTCCCCCGCCCTACTCCATAATAACTTTCCCGAAGAAAAAGTTTATTTTACTGCCAGAAAATCCGGTTTGATAATTTCTTAGATTTATCAAGGTATCATTAGATACCAGAATTGGAAAGTTATGTGTGTATGAACGCTAAATATCACTTATCACTGACGTTTTTTCAAAGACGCTTGCACCGATTCTTGAAACTCGAACCTTGAAAAGGACTCGAATTCATTAGTTTTGAAAGACGATCGGCCGATCTTTTCCTTAGAAATACTAGAAATATTCTAAACTTTTTGCTTCAAAGTTATCCAAAACATTTTCGACCGGTTTTGAAAAATTGAAAACCGCTTGAAAGATGTAAATTGGGAATCAAGCTAGTAAGTTTTCGGTAAAGATTGTTCAGCCATTTCTTTGTAATTAATTGTTAAAATTATTTTTTTTTTTGACAATTTTGATGAATTGGCGAATTATATGACGGAGTGTTCGTGGTCTTAACGAACTTTATAGACCTACAAAAAGTACTAGTTTAATTAATGATCCGCTCGCTTAAGACATATAACGTGTATAATATCAATTGGAAACCGAATTGACTATTGTTGATAAAAAACAATGATTTTGATATAACAATTTTCAAAATTTGCTAAATTTCAATTCTTATTGATTAAGTCGATTTTTTATGCAATAAGATTCAGAATAAAATGCCATTTACACCTAGTTTGAGTTTTTTGTGTTCTAATTGCTGTATATCCTCAGCATGTTTGTGTCGAAAAACTACAATACAAAGTCAAGATATGGTTTAAATTAATTACTTGAATGTGCAATCGCTTGTATTTCACAAAATACGACATAATTGACATGATTATTTTACAATTTGTGATTTTTTATATTCTTTAAAGTTTAAATTATATTACCAAAATTTTTGCATTTTGATAATGGAGAATACAATTAATATGTATGATGAATACAAGTACCAATAAATCTAGAAACAGATTACGATTTTTATATTTTAAAATTAAGTCGTTATATTAAAGCTTGTTTAATCTTTAAATGTTTCATAATTATTTTGAAAAATCACCAAAAATTAACTATTTTTCATGAAGAGTGATTAATTATCTCTTACGTTCTAACTATTTTTTATGAACATTTATAATTAGTTCCCAACTATTAGAATAACATTATGATGGGGAGCTAATGGGTTTTTGTAACAGTTTTTTTTAAATCAATATAACTTGAGATCTATCTATTCTATTTCTACAAAAAAAGACGAATAGTTGCTATAACTTTCCCTCTAACGAATCAAGTAAAATTAATTCCACAATTGTTATTCATTATTTCATAATTAATAAATTTCTAGAAAAAGTGCGGTTTGGGATTTGTTGTACTATTTACCGGAGCAAGTAATAACAACAACAAAATGACAGTAATACCTCTGATCATTTATTCTTTACTCATTTAGAAAAAAAAAACTTTATTATTAATATAAATAAAAGATATAGTAACTTCTGTAGCACAATTTACATGTGCCAACATCTTACAAACTATACATTCTATTTAATCTTCTTTACTTGAATTTGTATATATGTGATTGTTGTATGTTCAACAAGCTTCAAAAAAATATGGAGACAAAAAAAAGGGGGTCGTATAACGACCCATCAAAAGACACCTGTTATTAGTTAGCCTTGTTACAGATATACTCTTAGCTCCACTGCAAAAGTAGGTACTTTAACTAATTAAAAATTAAATTTCATACCAACGCATCGAATAGATTTTTTTTTAACTCTCTACATAAATATTTCAAGATCTTTCATTATAATTTAATCTGATCTCGCTATTTTTATAAATATTACAAGCATAAAATCATTAATTATTATTAAGAATGAACCTATTAAAACAGAACTCCCGCTAGTATTATTCTTTAATTTCTCTCTATATATTATATTGAGCGTCAATATCTAATCAAATTCCATTCCCTCTCGTGACAACACTTTTATTAATAATTTTCACGCCCTTGAGCTTTATATGTATACAGTGTGTATTAGGCCCGGTCAATAGATTCCACAGATGAGTTGGTTGTTCGTCGGCAATAATGAAAATGCTTTCGCATACATGAACGATAATTTCATCGCATCTTTTATAATGCGAAATAATTTATAGACCGCTCAATGGACTGAACAATCGATTTTGACGCGCTTCATGTATTTTTGCATATAGGTACCTACACACATTGACGTCATAATTATACCATAAATATGTAAAGTTTATTGTTCACATATGGCAAACATATGTTTTCAACAAAAATTTATCTAATTTCAAAAATATTACCTTTCTGATCCCATGATTTTAGTTCTTTTATTTACATGAAATTGAAAAATAAATGGTGATTATTGGTGATTATAGCAAGTACAATTTTAAATACTGTATAAACCATAATTGTTCCCAAATATGAAGAGCAAGATTAAAGTAGCTCATTATATTATTATTAATACGATATTAAGACATTATTATAGTTGACTATTTTTTAAATTATATTGGATTGCATTTAAACAACAATTGTTTAAAAAACATCGTTAAAACTAAATAATAAGTTAATTTTAAATATCATGTAAGCCAGTTAGAAAACGCATATTTGAAAAATAACATTTAACAGATCATATACCAGTATACAATTACAGACTATATATATATTTCATAATAGTATTTCAATTTTAATTCAAAGTCATATGAAACATCTTTTCTACTAGATTTCTTTCATTGCTAAATGCCTTTAAATTTTTATTTAAATTTGAAGAATACATCATACAAACAATGACCTCTTATTTCGTCTAACTTTCTCTGTATTTTTAAGTAAACTTGGTTCGTGGATAAAAAGGTCGAAGGTCCATTTTTTCTGAAACAAGTATTTTCTGTAAACATTATTTTAAAGCAGAGGACAAATGATGTGTAACCAATATCGCCTTAAATCGGGCGACTTCGCTATCCTGCAATGCATGGCTACAATTAAAAATTTTTGTTGAATTGTTATTCAGTTTACGATACCTGATTATAAATTTTAAGTATACGTTATTTAATTATTTTTAGGTTTTAAGATTGCGATAGATAAATTGAATTAATAGTTATTCCAACTCTAACGATGAATTCTTCTGATAAAGAATTGTAAAAAATCTGCACATGAAATATGTTTATTAAGACTGAAGTTGTGTACTTACCTTATTTGTATTAATAATTGCATTTATAGAAAAAATGAGTTTGATCATGATAAACTAAACAACTAAATTACAAAAGTATTATTCATAATAGTAGTTAGAGTTGATTTTTTTTATTATGTCTCAAATTACATATTTAGATTATAAATTTTAATTGTTGGTCCAGCCAAAATAATTAAGCTCTATCGTATTGAGAAATAATGTGATTATTATTCCATAAATTCTCTTGAAAATTGAAACTAAATCAGTGGACCTTTTTATCTTCTGGCTGTTGATTATTTAACCTGTCTATTGGTGAAATAAAAAGTGTCAGATATATTAGCAAAATAGTAAAAAACAAACTTCTACCTCTGTTTTTTACTATTTTGCTAATGACATCTGACACTTTTCATTTCTTCTACCATAATGAATTAGCTTAGAATTTTAATGTGTATTTTTTGTTGATATGTTATTGGTTTTGTTTTCACAGTATACTAAATTGACTGGTAATTATTAAAAGGCAAAATAAACCTTTTTGCCTCGCCCTTCTATATCATAATAAATTGAAGGAGCATTCAATTCGATTACAAATAATTTGTTACTTAATTATATACATTTTTCAGTTTTGCCAGATTTGTTGCAAAAGAAATGATACGAGACATAGCTAGAGAAGAAGAAAGAGGCGGCGCATTTGAACCATTACAATTCCACAAGATTTATATTCATCGATATGAAAATGTATCAATATTATTTGCCGATATCAAAGGATTTACAGGTAAGATCATGCTTTGATGAATAATACAAAAAATATCGGACATCTTCTCGACTAATAATAATTACTTTCAGAATTAGCAAGTAGATGCAGTCCGCAAGAGCTTGTAAGAATTCTAAATGATTTATTTGCAAGATTTGATAAATTGGCTACAGTAAGTGATGCAAAATTAAATTAAATTAAATACTCCAAAAGCTAATATGTTGAACTTTCATTTTGTGTTCTTTTATAATGTATACATGTTTGAAAGTTTTTTTAAAATTACATTCCTTTATTTTTGGTGAAGAAGCAATTAAGTGAGAAAATTATAAGCCAATCAATATTTTTGATACATGTGAAAGAATATAACTCATATTCGCAAAGAGAACCAATCAATCATTGATCAAATTATTTTCTAACTAACATGGTTAGCCATCAATATGTGGTCAATGGAAACATTGAAGTTTTGTTTGTGCAATGAAGGGGATCATTTGATCGACGTTGTTTTTCAAATCTAGTTGGAAAAATGGTAAAGGCTTTAAATTTGATATAAACAAAGTTTATCAAAATTATTGAAAATTATTCAAGTCATTCAACATTTTCTTTGGCCACATATAAATGGCGCCACCCGTATTAACGGTTGAGATCAGAATATAACTAACTTACTATATGGTAAGTTAACAAATAATTTGTATTTTCCAGTATTAATCTAGTTGAATTGTCTTGCACCTTATTAGATAATTAGATGTGCAATCACATATTAATATAATTTTAGGAAATCATTGTCTTCGTATAAAACTACTAGGAGATTGTTATTATTGTGTTTTGGTCTTCCAACGGCCCGAGGCGATCACGCTGTATGCTGCGTCGAAATGGGTCTTCATATGATTAAAGCCATCAGGGATGTCAGGCATCGAACCCAGGTATTTAGTTTTTAATGGTTATAATTTTTTTTATTATTATTTTAAACAGCAATCAGAACCTAACAGTACTATAAGCTGTTGTGTTGATTTTGACTTAATACGCGTCTGTTTGACAGATGGCCACCCAATAAGTTGTCACATCTCTCTATGATATATTATTATTACAATTCTGTAAGGGGCGAGTATTTTTAATGATGCAGCAATGCCGGGGTGAGGGCTATTTTCACTTGGAAACATATTGCTGTCTATATTTCCAAGTGAAAATCGTTGTTACTACTGCCTGAGCAACAGACTGCTCGAAGTGGGTATCGAAACTGGGACCTCCGAAACTCTTCTCCGAAAGTCCCGTCGCTCTTAAACTGCTTACCTACGGGCGGGCCCGAAATAATAAATAATACATTATTTTTATGTGATAAATATTATTATTGTGATCATTTCTTGACGAGTTTTGTTTTTACGTTTCAATTGGATTTTATTTTATTTGTGGCATGAAATAAAAAATATGTCGTATATTATGAAAAGTGTAAACCATTTTTACTGGAGAGTTTACACGCGAAAATCATAGCAATAAACCAGAGTGAACCAGGGGAGTGGTAATTCGCTAGGCAGTTGACAAAAACTTCTTGATATGTGTGAGAAATCGACAAATTGTTACGCATTGAAATTCAACATGTTTTGAAAATATGACGATTAAAATTTAAAATTTTGACATCCTTTTCCCCATTATTTAAATTAATTCAAGGTGTTTTTATAATTTGGCCAAATTTTGTAGACGTTAAATATTTTACAATATTCGTTAATACCATAAAAATTCTATCATAAAGAGTTTTATCAAAATTGTCCAAAAAGCTATTTTCTACATTTAATTGCGAAGAAATGGCATGGTAGGACTTTACAAGAAAGATGTACCTAGCAGCTCTATTCCTAACTGCTCTTTCCTTCTATAATTGTAAAAAAGACGGTTGCTAATAACTAATGGAGGCGAGTCTATATTGTGTTTCATTTTCATTTGTTTTAATTGTAAAAAAAAAGAATCGGCAGACAGTTGCTAATAACTAATCGAAGCAAGTCTATATTGTGTTTCATTTTCCTTTTTTTTATAATACATGTGTT